CACATCCAGCGGGCCCCCCACCCCCCAAACATGCACGTCTGGGGAGAAGCTTTCATCCTGGACTCCTTCAACCTGCAGGTGGGCTGCGAGGCAGGCGGAGGGGTGAGGCTGGTGTGGGTTAGCCCAGGGGTCCTCAACCTTTCTGGCTGTGGGGACTGGCGAGGGGGGGGAGTGGAAATGGCTCCGTGTGAGCGGTAGGCGCTTGTGTGCACAGATCCATTGGGCACTTGCAGGCACGCGTGAAGCTCCACTTGGGCTGTTGGTTTGATCTCTTGAGTTTGGCGACTTGGTTGCAAACATTTCGTCAAGCAAGGTTCTACATTTAGGCAAGAAAAACCAAATGTACAGGTATACTATAGGGGGTACCTTGCTCAATAGTAGCAACTGTGAGAGGGACCTCGGAGTCCTAGTGGACAATCCCTTAAATAGGAGCCAGCCGTGTGCTGCAGCTGCCAAAAAGGCCAACACAGTGCTGGGTTGCATTAACAGAGGGAGAGAATCAAGATCACCTGAAGTGTTAATACCACTTTACAAGGCCTTGGTAAGGCCACACTTGGAATACGGCATCCAGTTTTGGTCGCCGTGATGTAAAAAAGATGCTGAGACTCTAGAAAGAGTGCAGAGAAGAGCAACAAAGATGATTAGAGGACTGGAGGCTAGAACATATGAGGAACGGTTGCTGGAATTGGGTCTGTCTAGTTTAAGGAAGAGAAGGACAAGGGGGGGACAGGACAGCAGCCTTCCAGTATCTCAGGGCCTGCCCCAAAGAAGAAGGAGTCAAGCTATTCTCCAAAGCGCCTGAAGGCAGGACCAGAAGCAACAGATGGAAACTAATCAAGGAGAGAAGCAACCTGGAACTAAGGAGAAACTTCCTGACCAATTAGAACAATTAACCAGTGGAACAACCTGCCTCCAGAAGCGGTGAATGCTCCAACACTGGAAGTTTTTAAGAAGAGACTGGACAGCCATTTGTCTGAAATGGTATAGGGTTTCCTGCCTGAGCCGGGGTTTGGACTAGATGACCTCCAAGGTCCCTTCCAACTTCTTCTTCTTCTTCTTCTTCTTCTTCTTCTTCTTCTTCTTCTTCTTCTTCTTCTTCTTCTTCTTCTTCTTCTTCTTCTTCTTCTTCTTCTTCTTCTTCTTCTTCTTCTTCTTCTTCTTCTTCTTCTTCTTCTTCTTCTTCTTCTTCTTTCTTATTATTATTATTATTATTATTATTATTATTATTATTATTATTATTATTATTATTATTATTATTATTATTATCAAGAAGACATCGTCAGTGCCCTTCGAATTGTGCTCGTCTGTCAGAGCACTGGCCTTTAAATACCTTTTTGTGGGATGCAAATTGGTAAGAATGTTGTTTGTTCAGGTGTTGAGTCATGGGCCGTTTGATTGGCTGGCGGTTCCAAAGAAACAACATTCGTACCAATTTGCATCCCACAAAAAGGTATTTAAAGGCCAGTGCTCTGACAGACGAGCACAATTCGAAGCGCACCAGCAACGTCCCCCCGAATGGAGGCGAAACGTTGGCAACCAAGCTCGGAGATCAAAACAACAGCCCAACTACCAACTTGAGCTACTAATATTCGAACACATTTTGAAGCTCCATTTGTGCAAATACCCCTCAATGGCGCAAATGGAGCTGCACACCGCCCACACACACACGCTCGCACGCTGCTTGCATGGCCTGGTTTCTAACCGGTACCGGTACCGGTCCACAGCCCGGGGGTTAGGGACCCCCAGGTTATCCAGCTTGAGTGATGGGAGGGCAGGTCTGCATGCAGAGGGGGTGGGATCCTGACTTTGAATCTCCGGCCGAGACCCCAGGGCTGCTCCGGACGTTGTCGCCCTCTTTTCATTCCCCAGGGCAGCTACAACCAGCCGCTGGGAACTTCCAGCACCCACGCGGACACCCTCTTCCTGGACTGCACCCTGCGCGGGCTGCAGCTAGAGTCCTCAGACGCCTGCGCTGACTGCCTCTCCCGGTTCCTGCTGCTCTTGCGGCCTGAGGACCCCAGCCCCCAGGATCGCCTGGAGGAGCTGCCCCCCGCCCTGGGGGAGGAATTTGGGGTGCTTTGGAAAGTGGACCTGAAGGTGGAGGACGTGAACCTTTTCACGCTGTCCAGCTTGGCAGGTGAGCCTGGGGGGGAGGGGGGCGGCCTTGGATGAATGAGGGGAGGGGTCTTTGGGACCTTGGGAACCTGCAGAGGGAAGACCCTCCCCCCTTGCTTGGGGGGCTGAGACAAGGACTGGCCTTTCTTGGCTCCAGCTTTTGGCCCCTAACTCCAGAAATGATTTTGGGGACACTTAGAGAGTTTATTTGTCTCACTTGGGGATGGTCTGCCTCCCTTTGATGGCCCCGCTGCGTTTCATTCCCTTATTTGTTTCACATAAAATATAAAATATCTTTATATTTTGCAATAGGGGCAAAATATCTGTGGCGAATACATTTTTAAAGGACCCCTCATTTTTATATTTTATTTATTGTATTAAATAAATAAAATGTTAAATTTCTACGCTACCCATCTCACTCTCAGGCCACTCTGGGCACTTTAAAACGGCCATAAATAATAGAACAAAACAGTTACGGACAGTCCTCAATTTACAACCGTTCATTTAGCGACCGTATGACGTTACAGCAGCACCGAAAAAAGGGACTTACGACCCGTTTTCACACTTTACGGCCGTTGCAGCATCCCCAGGATCAGGTGATTGGAATTCAGACACTCGGCAACTGACTCGTACTTACGACAGCTGCAGAGTCCCTGGGGGGGGTCACGCGATCCCCTTTTGCGACCTTCTGGCAAGCAGAGTGAAGCCAGATTCACTTAACAACCGCGTGACTAATTTAACGGCAACAGTTATTCCCTTAAGAATTGTGGCAAGGAAGGTGGTAAAGTGTTGCAAAATTCACTTAACAGACGTCTCACTTAGCAGCCAAAATTTTGGGGCGGTCGTAAGTCGAAACCTACTTGTACAGGATTCAAAACATTGAAACTTTGGGCATTGACATATAAAACATTAAAATTAACATGATAAAGGGGGGATAAAAGGAGCAGGAGGCAGAATCAGCTCTTGTTCCAACAGCCTCCTCCACAAGGGGGCGCTCCCATCCGGGCCCCGAAAATCGGGAGATGCAGGCAGTTCAGCTGAATAATAATAATAATTAATAATAATAATAATAATAATAATAATAAGGAGAAGGAGAAGGAGAAGGAGAAGAAAAAAAAAACAGGTAGTCCTTGGCTTATGACCCACAATTGACTCCAAAACCTCTGTTGTTAAGTGAGGCATTTGTTAAGTGAGTTTTGCCCCATTTTACGACCTTTCTTGCCAACGTCGTTAAGTGAGTCACTATGGTTGTTGAGTTAATAACACGGTTGTTAAGTGAGTCGCTTCCCTAGCGACTTTGCTTGTCAGAGGGCCGCTAAAGCTGATCACATGACTGGAGGACCCGGCCACCGTCGTAAACGTGAGTCCTGTTGCCAAGCGTCCGAATTTTGATCAGGCGACCGCAGGGACGCTGCAAAGGTCGTAAGTGTGAAAAACGGCCACAAGTCATATTTTTTTCAGGGCCGTTGTAACTTCGAATAGTCCCCACCAAGCGAGTTGCGGTAAGCCGAGGACTGCCTGTATTCAGTAGAGGCTGCCGGTCGTCCTGGGGAGCCCTTGCCGGGGGTCAAATGGCTGCCCCGCCATGTTATCTGGGCCCCTTTCGGCCCCTCCAAGTCGGCGGCCGCCTCCGTGTGCGACAGCAGCACAATCACAACTGCGTGGAGGAGCCGCGTCTTCCTGCGTTGAGTTTTCATCCGGGGACAGCGAGTGGCCACCCTCCCTGCTGCTGCGGAGACATGAGTTCAAGGACGGGGATGGATGGGCTTTGTAGTACTTTGGGCCAGGAGGTGGACAGTGGTGCCTGGGCCACACTGAGCGTCTTTCTCTCTCTCTCTTTCTCTCTCTCCTCCCCCCCAGGGGCCACAGAGCTTCGGGTGGACACCCTGACCACGCTGGGCAGTGCCGAGAGCTGCACCATCAGCATCCAGGGGGTGGCGCTGTCCCTGGTGAAGACCCTGGCGGAGAAGATGCAGCCCTGCTGCAAGGCCCCCACCATCCCCAGCCCCGTGGCCGGCCTGGCCGCCCTCTCCCTCACCTACCGCAGCAGCATCCGCTCACTGGAGGTGCCCCCCTTCCCCTCCCCCTGCCCCCATTGCTTTGCCAAGGAACCGGGACCGCTCCCCGTTTGGGTCTAGGGCAGCTCACCGCGGCCGACTCGCTGCGGCACAAGAGTTACGCCAATGTGGAAGAAAGGGTGGAGTAGAACCGTTAGAGAAAAGATGCCAAAGGAGGGACGTGAATGACAAAAATTAAAATATCTTTTTGATCATTTTAAATCAGCGGTTCTCAACCTATGGGTCGCGACCCCATTTGGGGTCGATCAACCATTTCACGGGGGTCGCCAAGCAAGGCTGTCCGGCATTTTGTTTCCCCTTTTCCGGCGGGTGCCTTACCTCCCTTGGGCTGGGCCAGCTGGTGGTCGGCCTGCTCCGTCTCTGCCGCTTGCCAGCTACGCCTCGGCCGGCGCAGGGGGCGGAACCACGCATGCGTGGCGCTCCCGGGCAGGGAAAGTCCTCGACTTACGACCGGTTTAGTCCTCGACTTACGACCGGTTTAGTCCTCGACTTACGACCGGTTGGGGGTCGCGGCATTAAAAAGGTTGAGAACCACTGTTTTAAATAATTAAATTGAATTGCCCCGCAGCGAGTTGGCTGTGGAAAGTCGTCCCAATCCACCCCATTCAGCCCCCCCCCAAATCCCATCTGGTGTTCTCCCCAATAAAAAGGCCCCCTCCAGAGAGTCCAGTACAAACTATCCTGCCCTCTGGGCTCAGAGGCACCCTTGCCCACTTCCTGGGCGCTCCTCCAGCCTCGCTGGGCATAGTGGCTTCTTACCCAACCCCTTTCGGTACCTTAGCAGCAGGCTAGAAAAAATGGGGGGGGGGATGAGTGGGGCTGGGCAGGTAGACTTGCTTGGGGGTGAGTTCATCGCCCTACCTGTCCTTTTCCAGGTGCAATGTGGAGATAGCCTGACCCTGCTCTGGAGCCCAGGTACCCACATGTATCTGTTCGAACACCTCTTGGCTACCCGACGCTGCTACGAGACGCTGCAGAGCTTGCTGTCGCCCCCAAAGCGCGCCTCCGCTGCCCTTCCCCAGCAGGGCCCCGAAGGCCAGATCCCTGCCCAGGATGGGGCTCCCTTCCCCGAGGGCCCGGCCCCCAGGAGGCTGCTGGGGCTGACCCTGGAGTTCAGCTCTCTGAAGTTGACCGCTTTCGTGTCGGAGAAACGTTACTTGAGCCTGGCGGCCGAGCGGCTTTTACTCAACCGACACGGCACGTCCGTCCACGCCTACTGCCCCGGACTGGTGGCCGGCTTTGACGGCAACAGCATCCTGGTCTTGAAGGAGGTGGAGCTGCAGGCCCTGCCAGAGCTGGAGGAGATGATCCTGCACCGCGGCCCCTTCCCCAACCTCTGCACTTTGCGCAACCGCGTCTGGGCCCTCTCCTGCGCCGCCGTGGCAGTGGAGTTCCCGTACCAGTACGACTTTTCGGCTACGTTGGACGAGGCGCTGGGCGTGCAGAAGTGGCTGAAGGGACTCCACGGGCGGAAGGCCGCCAGCGGGGCCCCGGCCCAGCCCTTGCCGCCCGACCTGCTGCTCAAGGTCCAGCACTTCTCTTGGGTCTTCCTGGATGACGTCTTTGAGGTGAAGCTGCGCGACAACTACGAGCTGATGAAGGACGAGAGCAAGGAGAGCGCCAAGCGGCTGCAGCTGCTGGACGCCAAGGTGGCCGCCCTGCGCAAGCAGCACGGGGAGCTGCTGCCCGCCCGGAAGATTGAGGAGCTCTACGCCTCCCTGGAGAAAAAGAACATCGAGATCTACCTGCAGCGCTCCCACCGGCTGTACGCCAACACGCCCATGCGCAAGGCACTGATCACCTGGACCATGTCCAGCCTGGAGCTGGTGGCGCTGGCCGACGAGTCGTTCTCTGGGGCCGAGCGGGTGCTGCAACAGATCCGGGACATGGATGCCGCCAGCCCCTTCCCCCCCGAGGGCCTGGAGCTCCTCACCTACTGGTGCCGCATGGTCAAGGGCAGCGTCAAGACCTACTTTGGTGAGTGTGCGGCTGTGGCCCATGGCGTTTGGGCCCGGTCTGTGAACCTCTGCGCCCTGAACAACATGGCAATTTGATGTTCTGTTTGTTGTTCAGTCGCTGAGCTGTGTCTGAATCTTTACGGCCCCGTGGAGTACGGGCAGCCCTCAGCTTAACAACGGTTCATTTAGTGACCATTCAAATTTACAACGGCACTGTAATGACCGTTTTTCACATGACTGTTGCAGCCTCCCCGCGGTCACGGGATCAAAATTCAGGCACTTGGCAACTGACTCATATTTACGACAGTCGCACTGCCCTGGGGTCACGTGATCCCCTTGGGCGACCTTCCGACAAGCAAAAGTCGATGTGGGGGGAAGCCAGATTCACTTAACGACCGTTTTGCTAATGTAACAACGGCAGTGATTCACTCAGCAACTCTGGCAAGGGAGGTCATAAAGCGTTGCAAAATTCACAACACACGTCTCGCTTAGCAACATAAATTTTGGGCTCAATTGCGGTCGTACGTTGAGGGCTACTCCTACAGCACGCCGCCCCCCCCCCCCCCGTCCTCCACTCTCTCCCGGAGTTCATGCTTGTTTGCTTCGATGACCCCGTCTAACCGTCTCATCCTTTGGTGTCCCCTTCTCATTTTGCCTCCCCAACATCGGTGTGTGTATGTGTGTGTGTCTTCCCCAAGGAGTCCTCCCCTCTCAGTGGGGGCCAAAGTATTTGAGCTTCAGGATCTGTCCTTCCAAACGACACTCAGGATCGGTCTCCTTTAGGATTGAGGGATTGGATAAGTCTTCTCCCACGAATGTTCGATTCAGCTGTGCAGAAGTTTATTTGTCGTGCCCCAGATGCTGTAGGGAGTGGGGAAGGTGGGCCCCTGCCCCACAGAGCATAGGGGTCTAAGCCAGTGAGGGCGAACCTTTTAGAGACCGAGTGCCCAAAAACTGGCCCCGCCCCACTCCACCCCCTGCCCTGCCCCCACTCCGCCCCCCATCCCTTGCCCCGCCTGCCTGCAGGGCCACTCACCGCCTCCAGGGCCCACTGCAGATCTCCCAGGCAGCCCAGCAGTGCCATGGCGGTCATGCCCTCTGCCCGCGCCCTGCAGCATCAACTGTGCGCGATGGGGTGTGAAGGCAGAGTCTTGTCTACGCTACCTGGCTGCCATGTCCTTGGCTGCGCTGCTCCGCGTGGGCCACGCTCAGGGGCGACTCTCCTTCAGGGGGGCTGCTGGAGAGGAGGGGGTCACGGGGGTAGGCGAGGCTGGGGCAACGGCACGTGTGCCCACAGAGAGGGCTCCGAGTGCCGCCTCTGGCACCCGTGCCATAGGTTCACCACCACTGGTCTAAGCTTTACTCAGGGAAGGTGGATGCAAGAGCTAACTAGAGCAGAGGCCCCCAACCTTTGGGGCACCAGGGACCACCGGTTCCGTGGAGGTCAGTTTTTCCGCAGACTGGAGGGTGCGTGGTTTTGTGTGCTGTCTGCATCTCACGGATGCGGCTTTGCTTGTTTGTGCGGACCGGTTGCTGGCATGCCGCGGCCCGGTACTGATCCATGGACCGGAGGTTGGGGACCCCTGAACTAGAGGGCAGCCAAACGTGCCTGGGGGGCTATGAAAGGGTGTGTAAACACAGGCCACAGATATCCCTCTGGATCTGGGTGATCGTGAGGGTCTTCTGGCTACGGGCGTCCACTGATGCCTTGATGGAGTCCAAACCTGTCTCTAAATTTGACCATTTTTAAGACTTCAACTCCCAGAATTCCTCAGCCAGGGAAGCAAAAGGAGCTGGCTGGGGAATTCTGGGGATTTGGAGAGAAAAGGAGTGAAGGACGCCCTGCCCTTCCCCGTACTGTCCCATCTCTCCCCTTCTCGACGTGACCTCTTTCCTCTCCCCACCCCCCCAGTGCGGATCCGGGATTACCCACGCTATTTGTTTGAGATCCGGGACTGGAGACTGTCGGGCCGGCTGGCCGGCGCAGAGACCCCTGGACAGCCCTGCTCTCGCCGGCGGCAAAAGCTGGAACTGGGGGCCCCGTGGGGCCCGGTGTCCGTGGAGAGGAACATGCCCCCTTTGAAGTTCTACCACGACTTCTGCTGTAAGCCCCGGTGGGGGGCTGGCGTAATCCTGGCGGGCCACAGCCCTCCGCAAATTGCCCAGAGGGCGGGCTGGGGCTAGGATGGGGCTCTCTGCCCCTCTGGCGGGTGGGGGAGAGGTGCGTCTGGTGCCCCCCGTCGCCCTCTTCTGATGCCCCTCGTCGCCCTCTTCCCCTGTGCCCCAGCCGAGGTCTACCAGTTTACCATCGTGTGGGGGCCCTGCTGGGACCCCGCCTGGACCCTGATCGGCCAGGCCATCGACCTGCTCACCAAGCCTTCGGAAGACCCCAGCCCGCCCCTGCCCTGGTGGGACAAGAGCCGTCTCCTCCTGCACGGAGACTGGCACATGGATATCGAGCAGGCCAGCCTCCACCAGGTGGCCACGGAGGTGAGGCAGCCCCCACGGGGGCACAGGGGACAGAGGGGGGGGTCAGCCTCTCGGCCGGCCTCCCTTCCAGCCTCGGTTTCTCCTGCAGGACCCCTACAACACCACGGAGAACCTGCACTGGGAGTGGAGCCACCTGGCCTTCCACTGGCGGCCGGGCCAGTTCGTCTTCAAGGGGGACCTGGACGTCAACGTCCGGACGGCGTCCAAGTGGGTGGCCCTCCGCCCGGGGGGGGGAGGGAGGGGCCGGCAGGCGCTCTGAGATGAAATGGGCCGAACAGACAATTGAAAAAAAAACAAAAAACGATGAAATTTCCAAAGGAATGTTTTTCTAAACGAGCAAATAATTTTTTCTAGATAAATACATGCATAAATTATTCTAAATAAGTATTTTTTTTCTAAATAAATCAGTTTTTTTTCTAATCAGTTTTTTTCCCCTAAACAAACATTTTTCCCAGATAAAGGAATGAAATTACTAAATGAGTATTCTAAATGTAAAAGAGAAATATTCTAAGTAAATTTAGGGGTCCAGGCGGGGTCACATTTTGGAGGAAAGGAAAGGAAGGAAAGGAAGGAAAAGAATGGGTGGATGGAAGGATGGAAGGAAGGAGGGAAAGAAGAAAAGAAGAGGGAGGGAGAGAAAAGCAGGAGAGGAGGGAAGGAATATATTTGATAAGGAAGGAAGAGTGGGAGGAAGGAAGGAAGGAAGGGAAAAGAAAAGGAGGGAGGGAGGAAAGGTGGAAGGAAGGAAGGAAAGGGAGGAAGGAACGAAGGAAAGAGAAGGAAGGGAGGAAGGAAGGAATATGATAAGGAAGGAAAGGTTGGGAGAAGGAAGGAAGGAAAAAAGGGAGGGAGGGAGGGAGGAAAAGGAGGGAGGGAGGAAGGAAATGAAGGGTGGAAGGAAGGAATATAAGGAAGGAAGGAAAGGAAGGGAGGAAGGAATAGAAGGAAGGGAAGGAAAGGAAGGGAGGGAGGGAGGATGGGAAGAAAGGAAGGAAGGAAAAGGGAGGGAGGGAGGGAGGAAATGAAGGGTGGAAGGAAGGAATGAAAAAAGGAAGGAAAGGGAGGAAGGAAGGAAGGAAGGAAAGGAGGAAGGAAAGGAAGGGAGGAAGGAATAGAAGGAAGGAAATGAAGGGTGGAAGGAAAGAAGGAAGGAAGGAAAAAAGGAAGGGTGAGAAGAAGGAAGGAAGGAAGGAAGGAAGGGAAAAGAAAAAAAAGGGAGGAAGGGAGGAAGGAAGGAATATAAGGAAGGAAGGAATATAAGGAAGGAAGGAATATAAGGAAGAAAGGAAGGAAGGAAAGGGAGGAAAGAAGGAAGGAAGAAATATAAGGAAGGAAGGAAGGAAAAAAGGAAGTGGGAAGAAGGGAGGGAGGGAGGAAAAAAGGAAGGAAGGAATATAAGGAAGGAAGGAAGGAAGGAAAGGAAGGGAGGAATAGAAGGGAGGAAGGGAGGAAAGAAGGGGAGGGTCTCACTTCTCACCCCCCCTCCCTCCCTGTCTCGGGCAGGTATGACGACTGCTGCTTCCTCCACCTGCCCCAGCTGTGCATGACGCTGGACCTGACCTGGCTGTGCCACGGCAACCCCCACGACCACCACAGCCTGGTGCTGCGCTCGCCCCACTTCCTGCCCGAGGTGCCCGTGGGGCAGCAGTACGACTCCTACCGGGCCTTCCGCTCCGAGAACCTCAACCTGGCCATCCGCATGGACCTGGCCCGGCCCAGCGGGGGTGAGCCTGGGGGGGGGAGGGGGGCCCACCCCNCTCCCAGATCCATTACTGGGCCTCCTTCGCCCAGCAGCGCGGCATCCAGCTGGAGTGCGGCCAGGGCCACGTCTTCACCCGTGGCACGCAGCGGCTGATTCCCCAGGGTGAGTGAAGGTGGACAGGCGGAGGACGGGGGGCCCGGGCGTGGCTCCTACTGACCAGGCCCCTCCTGGACCCTGACCCAGCTCTCCACCCCACCCCCCCCTGCCCCTGCCCCACAGCTGGCACGGTGATGCGTCGCCTGATCTCCGAGTGGAGCATCGTGCAGATGGTGAGCGACCTCAGCCTGGTGAACGTCCACCTGATGGCCTCCCCCAGCGAGGAGGACGTGGACCACCGCCTGGACTCCTTGGTCAAGAAGACCCACCTGCTCAGCCTCTCCTCCCTCGCCTACCAGCGCCACAGCCTCCGCACGGCCGAGGAGGTAGCGTTTCCCCCCTACCCCCCCCACAAGACACACACAAAACACACACACACACACACCGGACAACCAGCCACGTCGTGTGAACCGGAGCGATTGGAGTCACAAAGCCACGATAAGCCACGGTTTACACCTGCAGTTCGTGCAACGTTGAACTAGCCATGTCCGGGCATTGGCACGGGGCCTCTTGCGGAATCAACGGGGACCGAATTTGGAAATGCATGTAGTCCTCGATTTAGGACCACAATTGAGTCCCAAATTTCCGTTGCTAAGTGAGACCCATTTTGGGCCCATTTTACGACCTTTCTCGCCACGGTTGTTGAGCATCGTAAATGGGGACCAGTTGCCAAGCGTCCGAATTTTGATCGCATGGCTCTGTGGAGGCTGCAGTGCTCGTAAGTGTGGGAAACGGGCCGTAAGTCGCTTTTTTCAGTGCCGTCGTAATTTCAAACGGTCACTAAATGAACTGTTGTGAGTAGAGGACTACCTGTACATGTTTTGGGGACACTGTTGGGGGCTTGTGTTCTGGAATTGGTAGATGGTCAGCAGCAGGTATGAATAACCGTGGCCACTTTAAGACCTGTGGACTTCAACTCCCAGAATTCCCCAGCCAGCTGTGCTGGCTGGGGAATTCTGGGAGTTGAGGTCCACAAGTCCACAGGTGGCCAAGGTTGGAGACCTGGCTGAGGGATTCTGGGAGTTGAGGTCCACAAGTCTTAAAGGGGCCACAGTTGGAGATAGGCTGAGGGATTCTGGGAGTTGAAGTCCACAGATCTTAAAGGGGCCAAGGTTGTAGGCCTAGCTGAGGGATTCTGGGAGTTGAAGTGCACAAGTGGCCAAGCTTGTAGGCCTAGCTGAGGGATTCTGGGAGTTGAAGTCCACAAGTCTTAAAGGGGCCACGGTTGGAGCCCCTTGCTCTAAAGGTTGGCTCCAAACTATCAAATGAATTTTCTGGGCTTTTTACTTTTAAGGCAAGGGGTGGACTTAGTCTCCCTCTTCTGTTCCCAGGAGCTTTTGCTGCGGGATGGGGACGATGTGCTTCACACCCACCAGCTGCACCTGGTGGACCTGCGGGCCTCCTGGACCACCACCAACCGGGACATCGCCTTCGGCCTCTACGACGGCTACAAGAAGGCCGCCGTGCTGAAACGCAACCTGTCCACCGAGGCCCTGAAGGGGCTGAAGATCGGCCCCCAGTTGCCCGCCAAGAAGCCCAGGCGGGGGCCCTCCTCCATCCCCCAGCCCCCGCTGCGGGTCATCGTGCCGGCTAGCAGCGGGCGGACAGAGCGGAGCCTCTCCGGAGGTGAAGCCGCCCTGGCCGTTCCACCTGTGGGGGGAAAGACGCCCCTTGCCGTGGGGGTGCTGCTTTCGGGGGTCATTGTGTGGGATCGGGGAGAGAGAGAGGGCCGGCACGCAGCGCGGCCTGGCCAGAGAAAATAGAGTCCGGGTACTTCCCTTCCCTGGAATGGATGTGCCTGTGGGGAACTACCCATAGAAGAGAATATTTGGGGCTCAGGGTTGAAATGAGGGGTCCCTGGTGCTCTCTCAGCTGGGTGGTTTCCTTGCAGACGTTTCATGACCCAACTAGGTAACATCATCAGTGCTAGAAGGGAGGAGGNCCCCCCCCAGAGGCCAGCCAGCCGCGCATCCTGCTCTACAGCAGCACCCTGCGCTGGATGCAGAACTTCTGGGCCACCTGGACCAGCGTCAGCCGGCCCATCTGCCGCGGGAAGCTCTTCAGCAACCTCAAGCCCAGCAAGAAGAAGCTGGGCCAGCACTACCGCCAGCTCTCCTGCACCGCCCTGGTCCCCAAGCTGCAGGTGGGGCGCCCCCCACCCCCAGGGAGGGAGGGAGGGAGGGTGGGCTTGAGTGGGACTGGCCCACGCAGGGGGAAGGCGGGAAGGGCCCCTCCCCGAATTACGAGGCTGTGTGTTTGGACCTTGCTGGGATCCATCTCTGGAATTTCTCTCTCTGCTCCCTTCCTTCCTTTCTTCCTTCCTTTCCTTCCCTTCCCTTCCCTTCTCTCTCTCTTTTCCTCCCTCCTTCCCTCCCTCCCTCTCTTTCTTCTCTCTTTCTTTCTCTCTTTCTTTTTCTTTCTTTCTACTTTTCTCTCTCTTTCTACCTTATCCTTCTTCCATTTCATTTCTTTCTACCTTTCTCTCTTTTTCTTTCTTTCTTTTTCTTTCTTTCTACCTTTCTTTCTTTCTTTCTATTTTTCTATCCTTCTTCCATTTCATTTCTTTCGTTCGTTCTTTCTTTCATTCAAAAATGATTTCTTTAGAATGTTCCTTTATTTATTTAGAAGCCTTATTCAGAAATTTTATTTCTTTAGAAAAAATATATATTTTTTGAAAATTGCTTAGAAAAATTTATTTCTTTAGAAAAACCTTTGCTTGGATTCATTTGTTCGATTTAGAAAAATGTATTCATTTCTTTATCTAGAAAAATTATATGTTGGGAGAAATGTTTAGAGAAACGTATTGATTTATTTGGAGAAGGCGTTTGTTTAGAAAAATTTGTTTGTTTGTTTGTTTAGGAAATTGTGTGTTTGTTTAGAAATATTTATTTGCTGGGAAAATTTATTTAGAGAATCTTTACAGCCGCTCGACCCCGTCCCGGTGGCTCTTAAAATCCCCAGCGCAAAGCCCAATTAGGTCCTTGCAGGATTGGGCCCTGAATCTGATGGATTTGCCTTTTCTTGGGGGGGTCTGATCTCCCCCTCCTCTCCCCCCCTCCCAGATCCATTACTGGGCCTCCTTCGCCCAGCAGCGCGGCATCCAGCTGGAGTGCGGCCAGGGCCACGTCTTCACCCGTGGCACGCAGCGGCTGATTCCCCAGGGTGAGTGAAGGTGGACAGGCGGAGGACGGGGGGCCCGGGCGTGGCTCCTACTGACCAGGCCCCTCCTGGACCCTGACCCAGCTCTCCACCCC